TCCTGTTCAAAAGATCAAAGAGGAATCAGGCATACGCATACATTTTTTGCACATATGAAGTTAGTGATTTACCAAGCATAGCTTAGATATGGCACAAGGCCAAAAGCATGGAGCACCTAGTGAGAATCAAACTGACTATTCCATCCTAACTGATTTAGCAAAACAAGCTTGCTAACCACTACACCATGTCGAAGTGCCCACAAACATGGAATTATATATTAACCTTTTGTAAGGAACGAGAATACCATTCATGGCTACTGATTTATTGATGTGCTCTTGGATGTATAAAATGGTATACAAAGAAAGCTAACAGAAAAGTGATCCTCCTATTGGCATTGTAATTGTAGAACACAGCGTGGAAGGGATACAAAGGATAGGAAGTTGTGGAGAGACATGATTGCCTACATCCTGAAAGGACATGACATATAAAAGTATAATGCGTATAAATAAAATATAGTAAATGAGAGGATTATTTAAATAGGGATTGGGACTTCTGCTTAAGAGCTGAGTATCTCTGCCCTTTGGAAGAAGTGAACTTTTATGTACCGTATCATTTCAGGACATGAAGATCATGGCTCTCCACAATTTCCTATCCTTTGTAGCTCTAAGCTGTGTTTTTTGTTTACTATCCTTCCCTTCTCTGTTCTGCCATCCATTTACATAAATTTGTTAGGTAGATTACTCAGTTTCCATTTGTCCTTAATGTCGTGTGGGTGTCAAATTCTCCAAGCCTTCTTTACTGATTATGTGTCCTAAAAATTTAAGCTGTTATTTTTTTCTGATTCTATGTATAAATGTCCTTTATGATTTCATTTTCTTTAAAACTTTCCTCATTACTCACATGCTCCATCCCTGTTATTCTCAGTTGCCTTGTCTCCTTCTTATCTGTTAAGAAATTGTTCTGCATTCACTGCTGTATAGGAGAATTGATATTAAATACTATTCAGCACTTTGGAAAGTGCGTTAGCTATTTCAATGTACCTTTGGATTTTTGTGTCACATTTTCCATCAACTCTTAAAACATTTTCCAGATCATTACTGTACTCGCTTCATTTTGAGACCTACAAATTGTAATTCATTATTTTGGCTGTCACTCTTGTTGTTGATCATATATTGTCTTCTTACAACAGATAGTCCTTTCTTCTTGCTTTCCACTATTACCTTGTCTAGGAGTTCCTATGGTGTCATCTACATATCCTATGTTGTTAAAATTGTGTCCACCAATAATAAATTCTGGCAGGACTTCTAGTTCTCTTAGAATTATCACTCTGTATTGATTAAATAAATCTGGTGAGACAATGCATCCTTGTCTTATGCTCTTTTCTATTTTATCATCAATCTCATGATCATAGGGGCACTGATCACCTGACCAGTTCCCTCCACATATCTGGGTTGAAAGCCAGAGAGGTATTCATCAGCCAATATCCTTCAACTTGAAATCACACTTTGATGACAGACCAAGCCATTGTTTCCATCAGGGAAAGCCCTTGACCTGGGTGTTGATTTCAGTCTGAGAAGCCTCCATCCAGTGATGCCATGTCATGGAGCCCAGTCTATGCAATTGCACTAGATGGCTGTTGACTTTTTCAAGAAGGTCCACCATCCACAGGTCTTGTTTTGTAATCCTGCTAGGTGTCTAGCCATGTGGATGATAGTACTATAGATTGATACATTTTTTACGGCTTATCAACACTTTGCAGGTTATTTAAACCAGAAAATATTTTTAGATTGTAAGAATTTTTTTTCTGAAATAATAATGGTTTAGTGATACAAATTTTACTGAAGGGAAAAGAGGTGGAATCATACCTAATCAGAATTTGATAAACATACAAGAAATTATAATGTGGATATAAAGTGGAGGATCAATTCTATATTACAATCAACATATAAACTGATCCCTCACTTCCACAGAATATGCAGACTAAGATTTTTTATCCATAGAAAATGCAGGTTCAAATCCTGACAAAGGGCACATTTCCTTTATTAAGGACTATGGGTGTGTGGGTGGTGTAATGGATAGTAGCTTCAGATGAGAAATTGGAGTTTGATATTCAGTAGGGTTCATTACATTCACTTATGTGCAAATAACTTTGGGAAAAGTGTAAATCCATCTCCTCCCCTCAGTTATGGGTTAAATAGTAGGGCTTATATCTGGGAAAAAAATTGTTATTCTCAAAAAATTCTTAATGCGCTATTCACTTGCACACAAAAAAAAAATATTCTTACAATCCAAAATGTTTCAGCTTTTTTTCACAAAAAACAAAAAAATATCAATCAATTATTAGATTCTCAAAAACACAAATATCTACTCAAAAATATCTATCCACTAAATATAACTTATATTGTAATAATAAATATTCATCTGGATAATGGTTTTTCTCATGGACACACATGTCAAGTACCATCAAGGCCACAAGTTTTCTCCTCTATGGTTACCACTGACATCAAATGAAATCTGGATCTCCACTGCCTGTGGAGGCCATGTCAACCCTGCACTTGACTTCTTTTGACAGTTTGCATGTGAAGAGGCCAAGCCTATTCCAGCAAAATACCATACATGTAATATTCTTTAACTTTCATCCCTTATCCTTGGAAGCATGTCTTACCAATATATTCGTGAAAGTTCTGTAATGTAATCGATCCTGGCCTGGCGTCACTTTCTCACTGTGGTTTGGCTTCTTTGTCTTTTCTGCAAACATTTTCATGGCAATTGTTTTGATGAACTTTATTCCCTAGTGCATCAAATACATGAATTTTCTACTAGATTGGCAACTAGGTCTCACCATTTTTCTGTTGAACTAACTAGATGCAAATGTCACTTCTATTCTCTTTCTTTTCTTGCACTTCTCACCCATGGAACTCCCTTCTGATGTCTTGCTGCTCTGCCACCTAAAATCTTCAAAAATTTAAATGCAACATCAATCACAATCTTCTGTCTTCCTGAATCCTGTTCCTTTATTGTCCTTTTCCTCACTTCTCTTCACTAAAGTTTTCTCCTTCTCTTTCAATCTCTGCTGTAACACCCTGTGTCCTAGTGTCATTATCACCTGGCTTGGGGTAAAAACAAAAAAATTAAGTATCATTCAGATTAGTCAGACTTCATGGACTAACACTATAGAACCCCAAAGAACTGTACCAAATAGCAGAAACCAAATCACTTGAGGACTACCAACAGCAGCAACAACTAAAATGGATAGCATGTGACTCAAAGAGAAAATAATAGCCTGATCAAAATGTTGATGTTCCACAATATATCGAACAAAAGTTTGAGGGAAGCCCCCATCAATACTGGAAAGAGCAATAACAGTTACGGGACTTGAGAAACTTATTTTCCTGCAGGATTGTCTTAAGAGTAAGATTTTATAAATTTCACCTGAAAGTGGCACTGGCTGCTCGGTCAATGAATGCTGAATAAAAGGAAATGCCTGATACCATTGCTATTAGAGATGAGGAGAACAGATACTACACTTTGATCCCAGCTTATGTTCAGTGAGTGAAGAAAAGCATTAACTCAAGATGCATGAACTGCTCAGTCAATGAATGGCAAATGATTCCACATGAAGAAACAGCTAATATTACCATATAGTTATATTATTCTATCGCTGAATATCAACTCTACTACCTTGTTGCTTAATTCAGTAGTATTAAATGTAATAAGATTAAAAATTATTAGCTGAAGTATTGTCAATCATCATTAATCTTGACAACTATCATTTCATTTCTTTTGCTTTTTTTATTATTAAGTTATTAGTAGTATTAGAGGTAATGGTGGATGTGCAGGTAATGCATTGGTTGTTGATGTGGAAAGTTGAATCAGCAAACATAATTCAGCCTATTCTGTTGCATTCACTTTCTCACAAATGCTCTTGGGAAAGGCATGAATCCATCTCTTCTCCTTCCAGCTGTAGGTTAAACAGTTGGGTAGAATCGACACTCTAGCATTAGGTAGTAGTCAGTCTAGGAGAAAGACAACTTTGAAATTAAAAAACACTCCACTATCTTTCCCATGGCAGTTCAGATAATAAAGCAGAAGGAATCTGTCAAGAGCCATGTTTGCCTACATCGTCAAGGGACGTGGCATCAAAAAAAATGTATTAAATGTAGTATTATTAAAATTGCTGAAGCATTATCTATTATTAATTTTTTTTTACTTGTTTAAAATTGATCCGAAAGAATGAATGTATAACACATCATTTCAGAAATTCAGATAGAAAAGAAGATTGGAATGTACAGAGACCAATGCATTGGTATAAAGACAACAAAGATGTGGAAATTGTTCTAAATAAATCAATATATAATAGTAACAACTGCTCATTTCAGAAATTCAGATAGAAAAGAAGACTGGAATGTACAGAAATTAAGATAAAGACAACAAAGATAAGGAAGTTAGTTGAAATCAGTGATCCTCAAACTTTTTTTTTTTTTTTTTTACCCATGGACCACTTTTACTATTAATTGTTTTTCAGTGGATCACCATAACCATTCGATGAAAAAAAGTTTATTTTATTTTTTACTAATAGATAAGTTTAGGAATTATAGAAACAGTATATGTATATGCTTTATTTTAAAGTAAAACTAATTGAATGAAAATAAACTTGTGTTTAACAACTAAATTCTATGGAACATTTATATACACTAATAAAATAACTCATAATAAATAATTTTAAAATGGACCCCAGTAATGTTACAGGGGGTCCTCATGGACCCTGATTGAGAATGTCTGGTCTAAATGAATTCATGTAACAATTTCACATTCAGAAATTCAGATAGAAAAGAAGGTCTGAGTGTACAGAGACCAATGCATTGGTATAAAGACAACAAAGATGAGGAAATTGGTCTAAATGAATCACTGTATAATAGTCACAACAGCTCACCTTGTAAAATTGTATACATGTTATTTAACAGATGTTGATATTTTTGGATTTTATTCACAAAGTCATCATTTCATTGTATAACATTTAATAACTCTGTTGATAAACAAATTTTGTTTCTCTTTTCAGATTACAAAGGAACCTGGAGAAAGTAGAATGACTCAATTGCCAAATAGTAAAGAAGGGCAGTCAGTCGAAGTAGGAGAAGTGAAAAAGAAAGCCTTTCCTTTACACAATGTAAACTCACTCTCCTTTCCTTCTAACCCCAATATCAGTGGGCACACCCAAAATATTGTTACCAAACCCATAGCTAAGAAGGCAGACATCACCAAACCTTTGCCGTCTAGCCACAACTTTGTCCTCTCAGCCAAAAAGGTGACTGGTTTGACTGAGAAACCTAATGCTTCAGTATTGTCTCCAGGTTACAATATTATAAATAACAACACACCAAACACTGCAAATAACCCTGACAATACTAAAGCATCTTTACTTGCTTTGGCAAGCAATAAAAACTTAGCAAGAGCTGATTTCTTCAGCAACATGTTGCCTTCTCAGGGTTACCAAGTGATAAACAGCGCCCAGCCTTCTACCCCAGTCACCACACTGGACTATACGGTCCGAATTTCTCCCGTAAAGACTACTTTATTCACAACTCCTACTTCTACTTCTGCCACTTTTACTAGGGGAAGTAACCGAAAACCAACCATGTCGACAGCAGTTGCCGTGGCAGAGATACGGCCCAAGCAACCTCCTCCAACACTAAAGAAGCCTTCTCATCTGTGGAAAGCAGGCAACAAAAAGCAATCTGCCATCACAAATTATGCAGTGGGTGAACATATTATACCCCAAACACCAACAGCATTCTCACCAATTCATTCCTTGTCCAATAGCTCAAATATCTCCAAATTAAGTCTTTCAAAATCCCCGCCATCCTCACCCGTATTACAGGAGACTGGATCCAAGAAAGTGCTTAACAGTAACCCTAGCATCTCTGCCAAAAAGGTTCCCCCTCCTCCACCGCCTCGCAAGAGCAGTAAACATCCAGGAGTTACTGCTGAGTCCCCCACCGACAGTCCTGTTTCCAGTAAGGGGCAAAAATCTCTTGGGAGCAAAGAAGCAAGCACAATTAACAACTCTCCTCAATTTGTACAATATACAATCACCACACACCAAAGCAAACCATCCATGCTCCATCTTCAGAGAAACTCTGCTCCTGTCTCTCCAACTTCTGTGTCCCCAATATCTGCCATTGGTACAAATCAAGACAATTCACCTTCAAAAGAGAGCGCAGATAGCACCGAGAGCTTCAGTTCGAGTGGCTCACAACAGAGTGTCATTCACAAAGACATGTCTGTCAGACAAAATGGAATCAACACTGGTAAAAAAGTCCGGCCTGACCCGCCCCAACGGACAACTAGCCAACTGACGAACTTTACACCAACGGCATCAGTGCCACCAGTTGGTAAAAACTCTCCTACCATATTTAATGGAGTCAAAAATATGTTATCACACAATGCCAAAGGAAACCGCGTGCAAGAAACTGATATAGACTAAATTGGCTTCGAGTAACTGGAGCAGTTCATACGAGACACACAAATATGCATTTGGTCCTGAATCGGAAATCTGCAAGACTAGTGATCCCACCCCCACCCCCAGGAGAAAAGCTTTACCAAAAGGAAAAAGGTCACTTTCTTTCTACACAGATTATTCTATTGTTAACAAAAATCGTATTTGGTTTTTTTTCTTGTTGATCGACTTAACATTTAATGAACTTAACATTTTCACAAACCAACCGTTGTTTAAAGAAAAAACAAAATAGAAAAAAAAAAAATTTTTAGGGTCATTTATTTTTATTTTAATGTATGTGTTTCAAGTCCTGGTGGAGGTCAGTTTTTGTATTCTTCCACATGAATATGTTATGTTCTGTGGATTAATATAAAATCATTACTCAGTTACTTTAGTGTGATTTTTTTTTAATGGAAACTGGACTTGTTCACTCTTAGTAATTATATTCTCACTCTTTATCTGATGTATATATCATTGTGGTACTCCCTGACAAATGCTGCCGCCATCACTACCACCACTACTGTTCATATTCATGCTTTGTACAGGCTTCAGTAAGCGGGCATGATGGCTTAATATTAGAATGGCCATATTGTAATTGTCATAAATCTACACGGGCAATATGAGCCAGATAAATGGAGGTTCAAATCATGCAAGCTTCTCTAACTAAATATGATCAGCTCTGAGACAATTGGCAACCATCCAAAAACTTCACTTTTTGTATTTTAAATGGAGAACCATTTTATACTAATCTTAAATGTAACACTTAAAGATTTTTTTTTTGTCCTGTTTAAATCTGTTTATGTTCTTCCAACCAAAAATATTTCTACAATCTAAGAATTTCTGATAATATGAAGGTATTTGGATGACACTTATTAGAAAAAGAATACCCTATGTTCTAAATATACCTGAAAATATATATATATATATATATATATATATATATATATATATATATAATCAATAAATTAAGAAAAATTTAATAGACTTCTCTGGTTAACTGGCTTAAGAGTTTTGCACAAAACTCTCATCAGAGCCAGATGTTTAATAAATCTATTGAACTTATCAGATCTCCTATTTACACTAATTCTAATTCTTTCAAATTACAAATTTGTAATGACACTCTAGCATGTTAAGAATTTTAAATTTGAAAGTTAGAATTAGTGTTTGTTTACTGAGAAAGAATATGGAATCTGATAAGTTCAATAGATTTATAAATTCATCTGGTCTTGATGAACATTTCAATATGAAACAAGTCAGCTAACCAGATAATTCAATTCAATTTTTCTTAATTTATTGAATATTGTAGCTCTAGTTATTTGTTGAGTTCTTTTGGTAGAAGTTCTGCTAAGCTGGAAAAAAAACCCACTGAAAATTCATGTAATTTTCATGTATTTTCTCAGTTGTAAAGGATATTATTATATTATTAGTTGTATTATAATTATAGGTTAATATGGAAGAATTTTCTATTAAATATAACCTAAGAGACCATTTTTAAAAAATGGTAACATAAAAATGCTTTAATGCAATGTATAGTCTTGTACAATATAAAATTATTATTTATGTAATATTGACTTATGTGAGTCATGTAACATATCAGTACTGAAAGTGGAAGCAGCAAGCAGAATTCAAATTCTAGCCAATCTGTTATACAGTTTTCCTTGGGAAAGGCATAAATCCATTGCTTCTCCTCCAGCTATAGATTAAATAGTTGTGTAGGCTAAGAAAAAAAAAAAAAACGCGGATTCCAAACCACAGAGAAGGCCAGCGAGAAATCTCTCACAAGAAGTCATGACAATTCACAGATAATAAAGAAAAAGAAACCATGGAGTCATGATTGCCTACATCGTGAGGGGACATGCCAGTTAATAAAATAAAAAACACAGAAAAGTTTATAATCACTTTAAACGTTATTTTTAGTCGATAATTATATTTGAGTAGACGCTCCATCTATTTAATAAACAGTATATTTATTTTTTGTCTACTAGCACTGTTTAAGAAATAAACTGAGCATCTACACAAACACAAGTATCCACTAATAATATCGGTTAAAGTAATAAAAATCTGTTGGATTAATAAATAAAAATCTATTACTTCTTTAGAAAATTGCTTTGTTTATGTTTAGGTATGAAGAAATTTCAAGAAGTCTATGACAAGAGAAATTTCACTTAAAGGCACTATTTTGGCCTTGTCTGATCATCTAAGTTCTCTGTAACTCAACAGTTAGAGCATATCGGATCTAATCAGTTTCCTCTACTCAGGGGGATGCAAGTTTGAATTCTGCTGGAGAGTGCATATTTTTCTTAAATAAAATTCCTCAAATATTCAGGCCATTAGACAAAAATAAATAAATATATTGTTTAATAAATAAACAGAGCATCTACTCAAATATGAGTATCCACTAAAAATAATGTTTAAAGTGATAAAAAGCCATTATTCTCTTTAGAATATAAACTTTTTGACAGTTATCTTAAATCTCTGTTGCAGACTAATATTTATTTTAGCCCTAAATAGTATTTTATAGTAAAAGACAAGTGAAACGTAATTCACAATTTTTTTTTTATTAATGACTAATAATAATGTTCTATGCTCAATCATTTTTTAAAGTGTGTTAAATCCAAAATTCATTATACCTGGTTTGGTTAAATCAAGTGTTTATTGTATATATAAACTGGTAATTAAATGACACAACAGGAAAGGATCTTTATTGATGTAATAAATATTAAATCTGATGGAAATCTCTGAATAGATTTATGGCAGAAAGATCAGTTTTCATGCTGATTTAAAATACTTTGGATAATTTTTTGGTGGGTGGGGGATGTTAGAAAATAGAATTTCCTTTTAAAACTTTGGATAGCCACTATTTTTTTCAAATAACTTGGGGAGGGAAAAAAAAAACACAATAATAATTGAACTCGGTCATTTTTATATGGGAAATTTTAGAAAGTAACAAAGTAGACTGATAAATTAAAACAGATTTTTAAACAATCCATATATTAGGCATATTTGAAAAAAATCACAAATTTGTAATTTTCTGTTGTGTCAAATATAGATTCACATTCTCAATAATTGTCATCAGCAAATTCCTCACAACCCCCCCTGTCCCTTTAAAAGTCTTTTTAAATATAACTTTTCTGTGCTGCATTATTCAATTGGATAAAGTCTCTAAAATGGCAGCCATTTTTAGTTTCTAAATTTTCAATCTCAAGTCTCTTAATTTAATATGTCAAAAGCTTTTCAGACAAACAGAATAAAAGGCTTTTCTTTCAAGCAATAAATTTGCCAAATACTCTATGACCCTCAGTCTGCAAGAGCGGGGAGTGTCAGCTTACCTCATTTGCTGCACTAGATTCTACAGCTTAATATGAACGATACCAGGTTTAAATTCAGATATGTCATCTGTAAGAACCTCGATCAGGATGCAAGCTAATTCAAAACACAGTATTTCATGTGTTCCTCACCTTGTGAGACGGGTTAACAATGTGGTTGTGCGTTATAACATTGGATACAAGATTATCTCAACATATTCCATTGTCTTCTTCAATGAATTCCTTTTTTTTTTTTTTTTTTTTCTCTCTACAGCATCCTCTCATATTTGACATTCCTCATATCAACCCCTTTGATGCATTGAAGCAAGTTTCTCCAATTTCTTTTTCTCCTGGTACACTTTTATACATTATCCTGTTTCCATGATTAATTTTTTTTTTTTTTAAATTTCCGGTGCCTTTTATATTGATTAATCGAATGCCTTAACTTTGATTCCTTTTCTTTCTATTGTAGAGAGAAGATTCTGCCTTTGCTCCAATGTCTTCTTTTCCCATTCAATATCCATTTGGAAATACAAAGCAATGATTGGCTGTTGCTCTAACTGTGATATTCAAATCTGTTACTTGTCTATGTTATGAATTCTGATATGTTTTTACTCAGTTGTGTTGAATTCTCCTTTGAACAGCTCTTTCTATTCGTTCTTGCCTTACTATATCCTTGGCTTGTGTACTTCTGATCCCAAAGAAGTAAGAACAATGTTTTGGATTTGTGAGCAGAAGAAATGGGAGGGAGAGGGAGTATTGCTACACAAACCGAAACAATTCTGAATCAAACAAAGTAACGCATTCTCAAAATGAATGTTTTTCTGTTTTGTTTTTTTTTCTTTTCTTCTTTTCGTTACAACTAAATTCAGTTGTAAGTCATATTTTTCGTAGTGGCTCACCCAGCAAGTCAAGAATCAGAAGTACACTGGCCCAAGGGGATACTCTTTATTCACCCGTGCTGTCAGCAAGGGCTGGTTTGGTCATTAGCATACTGCTGGAAGAATGCCATCTTTTTTTTTTTTCTTTTAAGTGGACATTTTATAATTGTTTTACAGTGTAATTGCTAAGACAGCAAGTAAAGTCTGAGCCAAAATTCTATTGATTATTGTTAACCAATAATAAATCATGGTTTCATATCTTTTTTTTTTTTAGTGGGTGATTTTTAGTTTACTTTATTTACCTTTTCCAGAGTGAATATATTTCAAAATTTTACCAGTTAAAATTTAAATTCAATTTATGCACTATTTACATATTTCTATACTATATATATATATATATATATATATATATATTATATGATTAAGATTATGTTCAGGCATTTTTACTTGTGATTATTTGGATCTGGTCATTTACATGGAAACCAAATACAATAAATATGAATCTTGTGTTTAGCTGACCAGAACTGACCATTCTATCTGGGAAGGGTTAAATGAATTGTTGATAACTAAATTTTTTTCCTCTTAAATCTCTTTAAATTATGCAATATTTACCTGCCTTAAAGTCATTTTATTTGGGTGGGGGAGACACAAATAGTTTTGTTATCCAAATATTATACTTCATTTAATGTAGTGATACAATTAGAAGTGGGATGAATTATTGAGAGTAGTCAAAATAACAAAATATCCCTATAAATAAATGGAACATCTTACAGGTTGGTAAATATAGTTATAAAAGGTTGAACCTGTAGCACTCTATATCATTCACATATATTTCTTCTCTTTCCACTGCATTCATTTTCAAGTTTTGTGAACTAAAGTAGCCATGATTTCAGTCAGTGTTGTTTTCTGTTGCCATAGCAGGACATGACATGACCACAAAATTCAAACACATGATCAAAGCTGCTGCAGTTGCAGGACAAAATTTGCACTTAGTGAATGAAGTTGCTAGCAGAGTGCTAGAGGTTTTAACCAAAAATAGGAAATAAAATAATCATTAAACAAGTGCCTTATTCCCCCCCCCCTCTTCCTGATTTTTGTGTCATGTTATATATGGAAATTTGATAGTGATTCAAACTAAGTAAAAATAATATCTTTGTAAATTTTTGATTTGCCTTAAATCTAATGTGGCTCAGGTCTCTTGATAAAAATGGAATAAGAAACATAAAACTGTCAGTCAGCCATAAATTTAGTTTTCTCCTCTGAAGTACCTAATAGAAACAGGGGTGGGACATTTTTGTTTGAGGAAATTTTCCAAAGAGTTTATTAAGACCACCTGTTCATAAAACTCAGTTTTGATCTTTTAAAATGATTTTCTAAACCTTTCCTTTTATACTGCCCCCAATTTTGTGTTTATTAAATTCATCCTTTTTGATAATTTAAATGATTTTCCCAACCACCCCTTTCATTAAGACCCTCACCTTGTATTAGGCACCTACGAGTATTCTCCTAAGCTCAGGCAGAAATTTTCTTTGTACAGCTTCTTAAATACTTGTCTATCCTCCTCATCCCATGAAAAATATCAACTCACAATGTGTGAAAAGTCTATTTTCTGTCATTTCTTCAAGCTGTTGTTCTCATCTTGGTTTCTACAGTCACAATGCTTCAGCCCTTCTACCCTATCTAGTCCTTTTTCAAGTGCCTGCTGTATTTAGTACTCTTCCAGGAATTTTGAACTGAACCATTTACTCATTCCACTGTCTATACCAGTTAATTCATCCTTGTTATGCCGCTTTGTAAACTTTTTTTTCCCACCACCGATCCCAGAATATATGAATTTCACTGCCAGAGATTGAACTCATGACCATCAGGTGACTTCATTCACTTAACCGACACTTATATTCACTAGGCTATTGTCCAACAGGACAATCAGGTCATGAGATTTTGGAGTTTTAATCTTAATATCTGTTCTTTCCTTATCAAAGGATCTCATATGTTAGGCTTACCAAGGAGGTTTATAAGTGCTTAACATTTGTGACTCTGACAATTAAGATGAGGACACCAGTCTAAATAAATTAAGTGTATAATAATATTTCTGTGTCCATCAAGTCTTGCATTGACTTAACCAAAGAGTTGTGCATGAAAATACAGGTTTTTATTCTTACATATTCATAAAAGTCCTGCAAAGTCATTTTGTTCTGGTCAAGTATTAAGACAACTGCTGATACTAAAAAGTGGGAATCTGATAATGAAAAGAGAATACAGATAACAAATGCTAGCTCTGACTCATAATAGTTGCTACATTTAATGTATGAACTATGAATGCAAATGTAGCATTTATTATGAGACACGGGTAGTATTAAGATATGTTGTTTAATGGTAAAGAGTTTAAAAATAAATGTTGGACCTTTGTTTAATCATTTCTCCCATTTCCCCGATGTCTTCATTACTGGATGTAAAATCAAGTTTTTCCATTTCAATTTTTATTGAAAGTTTTCATTAATTCTTTTATGTTTCTACAAACTATTTAGCAAGGATTTTGTTTATTTTTTTCTTAACACATATAAACCAGATGAATGACTTCTTTTTTTTAATACAGATCTATTTTGGGTTTTAGACCATGAAACAATTTTTAATGATGTGAAAGATGTTTGTCAGATGTAAAAAAAAAATTATTTTCAATTAATAAGAATAATTGTGTCATGTAATGAAGGACATCAAAGTGTTATCAGATAAAAAAAAATCTGAGTTTCTGTTGCTATGAAATTAAATCATAGTATATTTTTGGGGGTTTAATTTCATCCAAATATCTTTAAGATCAGAAGAATTTTTTTTCTATCTAAAAAGAATTCTAGCAAAATTATGCTGGGCACATTTTTGACAGATTTATAAATGGTAACAGCAAACATTTTTTTTTTTTTAATGCTCAAATATTATTCTGGACAAACCTTTCTGATATTTTGTCCAAAATCTATTTAGTCTTTTTGCTAAATACAATTGCATTCAAGTAATAATAATTGCAAGTTAACTAACATGTTCAGCAATTGACTTAGCCAGTGTTGTGCTGACAAGTCACTGCTGGACATGTGAAAATAAAACTTCTTACTTTGATAACTTGGTTGCAGTCTTTTGGGTTCAAGACATCAACTCAATTATTCAAGCAGCCAGACCTGAAATTCAACTTGGTTGATTAGCACCAGTTAGTATTCTGTTAAATGTAATGTGAGAACATGAAGACTGCATTCAAGTCATTGTTGGCAGTGTGTGTACGTCCTTCGAGACTAACTTTGTACTTGTGGAGCTTCAGATATTTGCGCAACTCCCTAGATAAGTAGATTGTAAGATGCTTTGAATTTTTGTTCAGAGCTTCAAGAAGCAATTACTGCTTAATGGCAACAAAGATAGAAAAGAAGGCAAGTTAACAATAAGTCACTTTACAGACAGTTGCCAGCAGTGGGTAATTTAGGTTAACTGTCAAGACAGAAAGAATGTGTCACTTGTACAAGTTAACAAAAATATCCACCTTCGTTTTACATGAAGTAACAAAGAACTCCAATTTCTTTCTTTTTCAGAATGTAATACCATTGATATTTGATTCTGAAAAAAAAAAAATGTTCTAACAATTATTATTTCTGTAGAATCATAAATGTTTTAATTTATATAATCTGTTGTAAATTGTACTGAATTCTTTAAAGGCAACAGGAATTCTTATAAAGATTTGATGACTTCAAGAAAAGAAAATTCATTTTGGTCTGATACAGTAGTTTCAATAATTGTTTCATATCTAAAACAAAAAAAATAACATTTGTCGATACTGAAAGTGGAAAATTTATTCTGACTCTGGTTTCTAGATACAACCACCACCCCCTCCTTTTCTTTCTTTCTCTCTCTTCTAAGGGTTTGCAGAGCATCGAGCTCAACTCCTTTTGTGGCAGCTGGCACAGGTTTCTTGCTAATGCACTAACCAAGAATGATTTCTTTTGAGTCTCTCTGCAGCGGAACAGCCCAGTTACAAGTGGCAGGGGTGCAAGTCTCAACTCTTGGTCTGGCAGTAGTGATCCATCAGCTCTCTGCTGCTGGCGTGTGCAACAGTCAGGGAGCCATAAACAGATTTCCCAACAGTAATCAAGAGAAAATTGATTTTTAGACGTGATGACAATAAAAAAAAATCTTCCAATAGCAAATTACTTTTCTTTGTTGTTTTTTTTGTGTGTTTTTTAATTTAAAATTTCACTAATATAATCTTAAGAGAGTTTTTTTTAATGTTGCTAAAAATAAATAGAAATGCATAAATATATTGTTTTCTGAAAAAGAAAAAAAAAAAACTTTGGCAACACTAACCAACTTACTATTCTAAAGCCTTCTGTAAATAAAGCAATCCTTGTAAAATACAATCTTTCTTTATGATCATCAAGGAATACTGATTGTATGGATCCTCATGACTTTCTCTCCAGTTTTCAAAATTATCCATCACTCCTGGTAGGTTTTCAGGTTGGCTTCCTGTGTCTTCATATATTTGCTGAATTCTAGGTTTTGAATGGACAACCAGTATTACTGTATCTGTTCACAACAGAATGTCAATGACGAGTTCCTTTTTCCAAGAATGCCCAACAAATCTTGTTCTTTACTCTGATGAGGAAGCAAAGAGCTACTTTTTTTTGTCAGGTGCTGTTTCTAGGATAGATTCACTGTGGTATACATGCTATCTAACTTCTTTTCCAATCTTTTTGTTAATGTCCATATGGAGCTATCAGGGCAAGACAGATATGGCTTGAAAGTAGTTTTGTTTCATTTTAGACTGGTAAAGCAGATTTTCAGACTATTGGCATCTCGTCCATTGCTGCCCAAGCTTTGCTAATGAGAACATAAATAAATGTTAAGACTAAAGCAAAATGAAAACTTCAAAGAAAATTTGTAAAGAATTATATATTTATAAACAAAGTTTTTGTATCAAAAATACAATAAATACAAACAGTGAAGTAATTAAATACAACATGCCTTCGAATAAGAGTTTTGGGGAGAAGACAGTCCATACAAAAAGATGATATCGTTGAGCAATGACCATGAACAGGTATGGAGGAAGAGGCAAAGTAACAGAGAACATCAGACTTAAGTAAATAGTCAGCAGTCTGAAAACAGAAAATATCATCATTTAGAATTTGGAAAACAATTCTTGCTAAGGATTTTATCCATCTTGAAACATTATTTGTGATTTTGTTTTTTCTGACGCTGCCTGAAAATGAAATCTTGAGAATGACGGCAAAGTTTAAAGAATATACAAGAATAAATGATATAAAAAAATGTCTCTACAGTCTTGTCTTTTCTAAACATACAGCAGAATCATATTATTCAGAGATTCCTCTGGGATAGTCTCTTTATTCGATCTTTTCCAATTGACTTCAGTTAACATCATGGAGTCATTGTGAACAAGATCCTCCTCATTGACTGTATAGTGGTGTGCAATGCAAGAACTACAGAGTTTTGAATTCAAAGTTGCTTTTCTCCTAGACTGGTTGCCAACCACAGCTAGCAAGCGCAGTCTGCTCTGCTATTTAACCCTAGCTGGAGGGAGAAGTGATGGATTCCATAACTTTGCAAAGGTGAATATGTTGAACTTGGCTTTCCAATTTCCCATTACACTAATTACGTCCCAAATTATCTTTATACATTATGAAAAGTTACCCATGACTAACAAATTAAAAATGAGATGAAAGAAAAAAATATTCCAGTAACCAATAAATAAAACATTTTTTCTTTTTTTTTTTTTAATGAATTTGAACCCCTCCCCCCCCCTCAACCCTAGGATTATGGCTTTTAGGGAATTTAATTTTTATTTTTTAATATTTTCAAGACATTTTTTTTTTCATTCCTTTGAAATATTTTTGCTAAGTAGGGAGAAAATAAGTGAAAACAAATTTGGCAATTTCAAGGATGGTGAAATCCTATGATAATTTCTTACTTTTTTTCTTTTTCTTTTTCAGAACTATATTGATTATCAAATAAAATATGCATATCAAAGTGAAAATATTAAAGTTGGAGTTGAAAAGAGAAGAGTTCTTTGTTTCCCACATTATTAATCAAGGTGGAGATGATCAATGATTTACTAAAAGACTTAAACCTTTCAAAGTCTTTTGTCCAAAGAATTGGTTTTGAATTTCTTACATTAAGACTTTTAATAAGCACTACTTTTTAGATCCAAACACAGTTTCCTTTTTAGTGGGTGGGACAAAAATGTCCTAACAGTGATATTATGTGAGGTGGTGGGGGGACTAATATGATATAATTTAATAGTGGGATGGAGATATACACACACACACACTCATCCCATTAGAACCAAAACAGTTAAAAATAGTAAGGTTGTGCCTGTTTCCATTCCAACAGAATCTACTGTGAATAGGGTGCATTGGCAGAAGCAGGAGTGATACCATATATATATATATATATATATATATATATATCAATGCATGTTTCATTAAATAATATAGATGTTTTGTCTATTTATTTTAAGTAAGTTCCTTTCATATTGTCTGATAAGCTTAATAACATTATCATTGAAAGATGTAAGCTGAAAGCTTAGATAGGATTTAAACATGTATCAATATGGTGATTTCCTTTCATCTTTCAATGATAATGTTATTAAGCTTATCAGACAATATGAAAGGAACTTACTTAAAATAAATAGACAAAACTTGTCTATATTATTTAATGAAACATGCATTAATGAAAAATTATATTCATGTGTGTGTGTGTGTGTCTACAAAAAGTGGAATCAGTAATTCACATTCTAGTTGAGTTTTCATTTTGCAGAATTTTGGGATTTATTTCTAAATAAAAATTCTTCTTGTGTTTTACATAATAAATGTAATACCCATGAAGCCAATTATCGTATCATATAGTCCTTATAAATATTGACAAGCTGAAACTCACAGGATATACTGCTTATAGTTTTTCCTATAAACTTTTACTAAGAAAACATTGTCAGATTTTATGCAAATGTAAAGAGATATATAAAAGATTTGTTTTCATTTTCCTATTAAAATCAATGTATTTTGGCCAATGACCTGGTAGAGTTGCGGATTAGATTTGAGATAAATGAAAGTGTTGAGTTGTTTCATAGTCAAAGGACTAAAGAAAGTAGAATTGCAGGAGATACAGGATGTAATGTTCTAATCTTAACTTTAAATAGGGGAGAATAGCTTTGTTATTGAAATGGACAAAGTTGCCCAGTTAGATGCAGGGCAGATAGACAAGGACTCGACTGAAGGAGGGTTTTCAAGACGGGTAATTTATGGCCTTCAGAAGAAGGATGAAATGGAACAAGTGGACATATATGCTAAAAAGATCAGAAGATTTACTGGAGGGGAGTTCAAAGGTATGGTGACCTCCTATTTGAGAACTGTTTTTCCCCAACTACATTTCAGTAGGGGCTGCAGAAGTTTCTGAACACTGACATCTTGTGGCCAGAGATGGAAAAATGAAAAAAAGAGAAATCCCAATAGTTTGCAGCAATGGTTACGAAGGTATCTATCAGAAGATGAGAAGCTTTGAAGGGGAAATTGTTTTAGTCGTCAAGGGGCAAATATAATTAAAGTCTGCAAAAAAGCCCAAGCTGCATTCACATTTGTTATTGTAGCCAGGGAAACAGTGAAAAGGGTATTACTGTACTGGTAACTATTCCTTCAACCAATGGCAGAAGTTCTGCTAGGTGAGAAGGAACGCATATGAGCCCTTGTTGATACCAGCTGTATGTCTAACTAGTAGCGTAGAGTAAATGTTGCATAGGATGCAAATGAAAAGGTTGTTACTGGTATGAACATAATCGGTCAATTGGGGGTGGCAGTACAGTTAATGTGAAATAATTAGGGTTTGGGGAGCATGCTACATTGTGAGCATACAACAAAAAATGAAATTGTTGAAACAAGACCAAGAGGAGGGGGGAATTTCTTATAAAATTGAGGAAAAGAATTTCTGTGCAGAGTTTGATAGCAAGCAATGGATAGTTGAAATGGTTCCAAATGGGAGACCCTTTCATGTCAGAGTATAAGGTGAGTTGTTATGAACATTCCCTGAATGGAGGAGGCAAAAGTTATATTTGAGAAAGAATCACAATATAGAAAGATAGCTGATATTAGTACTGTAATTTCTCAAAAATAATATGCACCCCAACAAATGACCTAAAAATTAAGAAATGTATCTATCCCTATGTATAATATGCATCTATAAATTTTGTAAGAAAAAAATTACGAAGACATTTTGTCAACCTTGACATTAAGAATAAAATCCTTACTAAGCGGCTAAAATAATGTTGAAAATTACCATGCAGTTTTCCCAATGAATATAACATTTTATTTTACCGTCAAAATGTGCAAGAGGTTTCAAGAAGTGTTGTCTCACTACAGCCATGGATGGCTGTGAAAATGACATCCTTTGGCAAGAGAATGAAGAGGCCAAAGAATATTGTGAATGATAATTTGTTTAATGACAATTTAGATATTGTTTCTGTAATAGAAAGTGGTAATGATGATGATGATGATGATGATGATGATAATTAAAATTTCAATAAATTGTTAACTTGATGTCCTCTTTTCTTCAAAATTGGCCTTTTTATAGATTTTTTTTTTGCCAAATAAAAAATGTGGTTACTGACCAACATAAATTTATTGACAAAAAATGTTAAAATTATTATTGTTGGATTTAAAATGAAAATTGGGATAATATATTTCTTATTTTAGAACAACAAGTACATATTTATTATTATAAATCAATAACAAAAAAATAATTTTGTTTAAACCTACTGATAATACACAACCCTACTATCGCTTGTAATTTACAGTAAAAAAAATGCGTATTATTTTCGAGAAATTATGGTAATTCATTTAAAAAAAATTTAAAGTCCAGCCAATGTTGGACATATAAGAATTAGACAGCAGGAAATATTTCTCAGATCTATGTGAGACATGAAATAAATGGCAGGCCTTTGAATGCAAACCTTTCATTGAGAATGGAGTATTTAAATTTAGTTGGATTTGTTTTTTTTTAATCAATTCACCCCAAGCAAGGCAATAATGCCACAAAGACACAAGGGGTTACTGGGAGTAAAAGAGAATGAGAAGAGTTTAGAAGGAACCAGAAACCCAATCCTAAACAGGAAACAAAGCATAAATCTCTACTGTACAAAATACTAGGGAGGAGTGTGAACCGGGTGTCAAGCAAACCTATCTATTCTTATTATTTTTATGATTTTGTGTCTATTAACTCTCGTGGATTTAAGAAGAGAAAAACAAAACAAAACAAAAAATTAAACGTCATACATTAACAACTCTGCCTGGGAAAAATCTTTCAAGAAAAGCCTCAAATTATATTTTACTGCTCTGCTTGTGAAGACCCTCTTATATTTACATTTAAGATTAAAGCATGGCAAAGTTAGGCTAGTTACAACTATGGGTAGTCTACAGTATGTAGATAGACATAAAATGACTTGATATCTCATCTTTGCATATCAGACTTAGAGATCTGTTCAAACAATAATCAATTTTAAAGAAATTTAAAAAAATATTTAGAAAAAGATCTGTTTTCAGTATCGCTTAAATATCTATATTGTGTGCAAAAGAAGGAAAAAGAACTCACCGATTTTCTATTTGAGTCTTGTGTTGTTGAACTGAATCTTTCAACTGATAGTTAATGAGACATGAATACCAGAAGATGACACCAGAATAAGTTGAAATGGCCAATATAAGTGAAACAAGAACAGGCTTGTACCTGCCAACACCTGTGTATCCTGCTGCTACATCAATTGAACTGAGATTGTTAGAATGACCCTGCAATAAAAAAAATTCAGAGACATATATATATATATATTTTTTTATATACGTGTGTGTGTGTGTGTTGGACATGGGAATTAACACTACATGGTGACAGTCTTCTAGAGATACCTTGAGGTGGGAAACTGACAGCAGTCACTATGCAGAGTTGATTCCTATGTTTACACTGTCTATATCTATAAATGGTCTCTCTTCAATTGTATGCAAAAGTAGATATACAGTAAATTCTATGGATTTCACCTGTATGGACTTCTTTTTCTGGGGATATGTAAAGGATATATATTTTGTTTTTCATTCTTATATACCTTGGTTCTCACCAGTCGAAGTGCAATTAAATGCACCAAAATGGTTGCATCTTTGTAGGGAATAAATTGTTTTTGTCTATATGAAAAAATTATAATATATATGCACACACATACATACATACTGGGTGTAATAGCAATATTTGTCCATTTGTTAAATTAAGCTCTGAACTGTTGTATCTTAGAAATGATTAAAGATATCTTCTTACTGGAATTCTCCAAGGTTTCTATAACACTACTGGACTCTACTTTAGGCAATAAAAATGTATGATTATTCTCCAATCTTAATAAAAGAATCGTGATGAAATCAAATCATAGACAAAAATGACATGTTGTTCATTAATTAATCCTAGTTAAGGATTGGAAGCTCATGAAGGATTGAAATAAAGTTCAAATATAATATATATATATATATATATATATATATATATAAATAATTCTAGGATTTATTTTTTTATTTTAATGGAAAATTATAAACAAGGCTAGAACATGTAAAACTTGGGATGACCCATGCCCTTTGTGCCTCCATGAGAAGCTGCCCATTATTAAGTTTCTAATTAATAATCTATTAAACAATAGACATGAGTTAAGGGTTTTTGTCAACATCATCAAATTCATGGTTTGAATAATTAGCTAAAAACAAGCATATAATATAATAACTTTTATAATCCATAGCCCAAATAAATAGTTTAAATACCCTACAAAAAAGATAACCCTTTATGAAGTCGTCAAAAAACAAATGTTACACCGTTTTTTGTTTTTTTTATATGCACAAATCCCTTTCATAAAGAAATAAAATAAAAAAATAAATAAATCTCCATAGACACGTAAACCAGACTAGGCTAAAACATCTTCCGTTTCAAATTTAGACACCCCCACCTTACCCTGACTTTACATCTATGAAAGTAACTCTATACTGATACTTATTATTAACACCCAACACACGCCTACCCAATTAAAACAATTCGCCCTAGCTGTTACCATGAAAATTTTGATTTCAATTATTAAAACATGTAAATTTCAGAAATACGTTATTCCAAAAAAAATTTCGCTTGAAGATGGAACAGAGCTTACTTTAACTCAATTTAATTCAAATAATTATATTGAAGTTTTCGCTCTTGTTTTGAAACATGAGACCTCTTATGTCATGAATTGAATCATATTTTTAAATAAATAATTATATATATATATATATATATATATAGTAATGGTAATATTAACGGTTTTATTCTAAATAAACATTCAAAATATATCAGAGTAACAGTGAATAATTAAATGACAATGAAAAAATAAATCCTACATCATGTGTTTCTCTATGTATAATTGTAACTAGTATTTGTTGTATTTCTTACCCAATCTGTATATAAGTCTACTATTTGTCTATTGAATATTGTTACATCTGGTCTGGTGCTTCTACTATGTATCTACAGATTCTTGACAAAATCCAACGAAGCATCTTCAATGTTATAGATCCTGACATGACATTTTGGCTTCTGTCACTTTTCCACTGCCATAATGTAGCCTCCCTGTGCTTCTTCTATAAATCTTTTCATGTTAATTGTTCTGATGAGTTTTCCTCTTTGGTACCTCAACTCCACATATTTAAGTGCAGTACTAGATTAGCGGTTAGGTCTCATCATTTTACAGTTAAAATTGCTAGATGTAACCATAAGTTTTAGTTTCTCCTCTTGCACTTCTCACTTATGGAACTCTTGTTTTTGCTTTCCTGCCAACTTTGATCTTCAGAACTTTAAATGAAACATCAATTGTCATCTTCTGTCTTCTTAAATCCAGTCCTGTTATTGTCCTCTCTAATCAATAATGTTTTTCTCAGATTCTTTCACTTTCAGTAACCACTTGCATCTTAGTGGCTTTATCGCCTTACTTGGGGTGAAATGATCAAAATAAAAATAATAATAATTTTTATTTATCATTTAAATAGTTGTAATAATGATAATTGTTATATTTGACGATACACTGACATCCAACTTAGTTCATCACCTCTGACACCCAACTTTGCAGGCAACTCCATGTGAAGTAGTTCCAAGGTTGTCAAGGAGTTCACAGCCAAGAAACTGTAACTACAGTTAGTTTCAACTGGCTGCGGGTAAATCTACAGATGGGACTGAACTACTGGTAGCATACCCAGGGTGGTGTGACATGGCATGACTAGGCAAAGGATTACCTTGATGGAATCAACAAACATGTGATGTGACCATGACCAGAGCAAGCCTTCAAATGTGACACAAAGTCAGTTTAAAGTGGGTTTAAGAGCAATACTGTGAGAAAATAGGCCCTTCCACCTTTTTGGAGATGCCATGGGTACAAGGTAATAACTCCAGCCTTCACGAAGAAGAAGAGGTACTACTTGGAGGGATGGCCCCCTGGGGCTTGAGTCAATATTATTTTGAAACTTTCCTGATAGAAGTGCCTAGTATGAATACCTACTGAGACATGTGGATAGGATCTGGTCAAGTGACCCTATGGCCACATAAAGTCATGGGAGTGATGATGATGATTAAGAATGTCAAACTGCTTACCTGATAGAAATAGGTTGCTTGTGCCATCCAGGTATAAATCAATGCTGTAGCATAAACTGGTAATTTGATAAAAGACAGCAATTTGCGTAACAGGATTTCTTGTAAGGTAGCCATGGCCAGGACACAAATGTTATGAGGGTGAGAAGTTAGAAGAGCAGCCATTATGATAGAAACTGACTTCAAACACAAAACAGCAGACTGCATGGTGATAGAGCGGACGTTTTCATCTCTATTATTTGAAATGCTTTTCATACGGATTACAACACAAGTTTCCAGGATCAGAAGCAGTGTTAAACTGTAAACAATACGAGATTCTTTGAGGCCGCTGAAAGAAAAGAAAAAAAAAAAAATGGAGAAATTACACTGAAATTAGTTGTAGTATGAGACATTAAAGTTTTAAATAGATATTAATTCATACATTGAAGGAATGTGGGCACTTTGACATGGTGTAATGATTAGCAAGCTTGTCTCGTTAGGTTAGTTATGACTGAATAGTGAGTTTGATCCTCACTGGGTGCCCCATACATTAGGCCTTGTGCCACATCTAAGCTATGCTTAGAAAATCCCCATGCATTAAAGACATGCATAAAGTATCCATTTGATGACCAAGTACTGTAATATATCTACATTTTAAATTGTTTGCAATTGGGATATTTTTGCATCACATTGATAAAATATCTTGTCATCCACATAAGAACAATCATTACTTTCACTTTATTCATTAGTATCTATGTCCTGGGTAAGACGATAAACTACATCTGCATCCCGGGTAAGACGATAAACTACATCTGCGTCCAGGGTAAGACGATAAACTACATCTGCGTCCAGGGTAAGACGATAAACTACATCTGCGTCCAGGGTAAGACAATAAACTATGTCCAGCAGAAGGCCTCTGATCAGGAGGTTTTGAGGAGCATGGAACCACTTTTTAATTGCTGGTGTTCCCAGGTCCACCCTGACCCGGGATGGTAGCACCTATTAGGGTCCCAGCTATGGGCAAATAGTTAACCCCGAAACTGAGGTAAAAATGGGTTTTAATACCAGGAATACTTTGTAAAAAAAAAAAAAAAAAAAATTATTATCAGCAATAAATTTTTGAAGAAAAAAAAAAAAAATCTATTTAAAGCAATACATTTTTGAAAAAAAATATTACCAACAATGCATTTTTGAGGAAAAGAAATATTACCAGCAATAAAAACTTTGTTGGCATTAAATAACCTATTGAGGCTAATATGCCGTAAAACACAACAAACCAAACCAAAATCATTAGTATCTATGAATTGTATCAAAATCAGTCAGCCAATTCACTGCTAGAGTACAATACAGGACAAGAATCGTTGGTTTTGCTGCTTTGTCTTGAATCCTTAATCTGATTCACCAGCAATTAAGAAGAACCAAGACAACTTTCTCAGAAGATATTGTGGGTGGCCCCCTCACAGAAAACATTGCTTTCACTGCCTTTATCATTATCTATAAATTGCCTTGAATCATTATCTGATTGAGTGCCAGACAAAGATATTTCTCAACCACCGCCATGACAATCATTGCTTCTACTGCCTTTCTCACAACCTAAAAATTGTTTTGAATCAAAATTACTGTGAGAGTAAAAAAAGACTCAAAACAAAGATATTTCTCAAAAGATATCTCGTCAGCTACTCCCAAATGATTAAGAGGAATCTGACCACAAATCCAAGCTACTGGCTACATTAACTGACAGAGTTGTGTGTTATTACAAAAGCATGCTTCGTAAAAAATTTATGATACTTGTCATAATTATTACGTTTATTTCAGATTATACTGTGGCTTATAAACTAATTGAAGAAGAAATAAAAAAATATACAGTGGCTTATAAACTAATTGAAGAAGAAATAAAAAAATATACAGTGGCTTATAAACTAATTGAAGAAGAAATAAAAAAATATACAGTGGCTTATAAACTAATTGAAGAAGAAATAAAAAAATATACAGTGGCTTATAAACTAATTGAAGAAGAAATAAAAAATATACAGTGGCTTATAAACTAATTGAAGAAGAAATAAAAAAAAATATACAGTGGCTTAAAACTAATTGAAGAAAAAAAAAAAATATACAGTGGCTTATAAACTAATTGAAGAAGAAAAAAAAAATATACAGTGGCTTATAAACTAATTGAAGAAGAAATAAAAAAATATACAGTGGCTTATAAACTAATTGAAGGAGAAATAAAAAAATATACAGTGGCTTATAAACTAATTGAAGGAGAAATAAAAAAATATACAGTGGCTTATAAACTAATTGAAGGAGAAATAAAAAAAAATATACAGTGGCTTATAAAAAAGTAATTGAAGGAGAAATAAAAAAATATACAGTGGCTTATAAACTAATTGAAGGAGAAATAAAAAAATATACAGTGGCTTATAAAGTAATTGAAGGAGAAATAAAAAAATATACAGTGGCTTATAAACTAATTGAAGGAGAAATAAAAAAATATACAGTGGCTAATAAACTAATTGAAGAAGAAATAAAAAAATATACAGTGGCTTATAAACTAATTGAAGAAGAAATAAAAAAATATACAGTGGCTTATAAACTAATTGAAGGAGAAATAAAAAAATACAGTGGCTTATAAACTAATTGAAGGAAAATAAAAAATATACAGTGGCTTATAAACTAATTGAAGGAGAAATAAAAAAAATATACAGTGGCTTATAAACTAATTGAAGAAGAAATAAAAAAATATACAGTGGCTTATAAACTAATTGAAGAAGAAATAAAAAATATACAGTGGCTAATAAACTAATTGAAGAAGAAATAAAAAATATACAGTGGCTTATAAACTAATTGAAGAAGAAATAAAAAATACAGTGGCTAATAAACTAATTGAAGAAGAAATAAAAAAAAAATATACAGTGGCTTATAAACTAATTTAAGAAGAAATAAAAAATATACAGTGGCTTATAAACTAATTGAAAGAAATAAAAAAAAAAATATACAGTGGCTTATAAACTAATTGAAGGAGAAATAAAAAAATATACAGTGGCTTATAAACTAATTGAAGAAGAAATAAAAATATACAGTGGCTTATAAACTAATTGAAGAAGAAATAAAAAAAATATACAGTGGCTTATAAACTAATTGAAGGAGAAATAAAAAAATATACAGTGGCTTATAAACTAATTGAAGGAGAAATAAAAAAATATACAGTGGCTTATAAACTAATTGAAGGAGAAATAAAAAAATATACAGTGGCTTATAAACTAATTGAAGGAGAAATAAAAAAATATACAGTGGCTAATAAACTAATTGAAGGAGAAATAAAAAAATATACAGTGGCTTATAAACTAATTGAAGAAGAAATAAAAAAATATACAGTGGCTTATAAACTAATTGAAGAAGAAATAAAAAAATATACAGTGGCTTATAAACTAATTGAAGGAGAAATAAAAAAAATATACAGTGGCTTATAAACTAATTGAAGGAGAAATAAAAAAAATATACAGTGGCTTATAAACTAATTGAAGGAGAAATAAAAAAAAATATACAGTGGCTTATAAACTAATTGAAGGAGAAATAAAAAAATATACAGTGGCTTATAAACTAATTGAAGGAGAAATAAAAAATATACAGTGGCTTATAAACTAATTGAAGGAGAAATAAAAAAATATACAAATAAACTAATTGAAGGAGAAATAAAAAAAATATACAGTGGCTTATAAACTAATTGAAGGAGAAAAAAAAATATACAGTGGCTTATAAACTAATTGAAGGAGAAATAAAAAAATATACAGTGGCTTATAAACTAATTGAAGGAGAAATAAAAAAAAATATACAGTGGCTTATAAACTAATTGAAGGAGAAATAAAAAAAATATACAGTGGCTTATAAACTAATTGAAGGAGAAATAAAAAATATACAGTGATAAACTAATTGAAGGAGAAATAAAAAAAATATACAGTGGCTAATAAACTAATTGAAGAAGAAAAAAAAAATATACAGTGGCTTATAAACTAATTGAAGAAGAAATAAAAAAAATACAGTGGCTTATAAACTAATTGAAGGAGAAATAAAAAAATATACAGTATAAACTAATTGAAGGAGAAATAAAAAAAAAATATACAGTGGCTTATAAACTAATTGAAGGAGAAATAAAAAAATATACAGTGGCTTATAAACTAATTGAAGGAGAAATAAAAAAATATACAGTGGCTTATAAACTAATTGAAGGAGAAATAAAAAAATATACAGTGGCTTATAAACTAATTGAAGGAGAAATAAAAAATATACAGTGGCTTATAAACTAATTGAAGGAGAAATAAAAAAAAATATACAGTGGCTTATAAACTAATTGAAGGAGAAATAAAAAAATATACAGTGGCTTATAAACTAATTGAAGGAGAAATAAAAAAATATACAGTGGCTTATAAACTAATTGAAGGAGAAATAAAAAAATATACAGTGGCTTATAAACTAATTGAAGGAGAAATAAAAAAATATACAGTGGCTTATAAACTAATTGAAGGAGAAATAAAAAATATACAGTGGCTTATAAACTAATTGAAGGAGAAATAAAAAAATATATACAGTGGCTTATAAAAACTAATTGAAGGAAAAAAAAAAAAATATACAGTGGCTTATAAACTAATTGAAGGAGAAATAAAAAAATATACAGTGGCTTATAAACTAATTGAAGAAGAAATAAAAAATATACAGTGGCTTATAAACTAATTGAAGAAGAAATAAAAAATATACAGTGGCTTATAAACTAATTGAAGAAGAAATAAAAAAATATACAGTGGCTTATAAACTAATTGTAGGAGAAATAAAAAATATACAGTGGCTTATAAACTAATTGAAGGAGAAATAAAAAAATATACAGTGGCTTATAAACTAATTGTAGGAGAAATAAAAAATATACAGTGGCTTATAAACTAATTGAAGGAGAAATAAAAAATCTCATTGTTCACATGTATGAAGATGATGCTGCTACATCATAAGACAGTTGCTGATGTGTTTAATGTCAAACATCTGGATTCAGAAAAATATATAATTCAAACAAAACCTTGGAAACTTAAAAATTTGGACAATTATTAGCCTTCGTATCAATAAAAACATAATGTTCCAAAAGGACGCCTTTTCCCTTGACAACACAATTACTGTATATTCCCTTCACTCCCTCAGCAATGTTTATTTTGAAGATTATAAAAAGTACAATATGATATTTATTATTTACCATTTCATAAAGAAAGAAATTTTAAAATAAATCATTTTATTAAAAAATTTAGGATTAATACAAATAAAATTTGTCACTTCGCTGATAGTTATTATATTCAACACACTGATTCTGGA